GAGTGTCTGACTCGTGAGTGTTAATCTTTAACGTTGTTTCATTGAACAGATTACGTACTGTGCTGGATTCTATATTCATAGACTATGGTGAACATGGTCAACAATATTCAATTTTATTAATGTTCCATCTTATGATATTGACCTCAATAATTACAAAAATTGTTTGCCTTCTTTTTCTGTGTGCCGTGTCCCTTCAGAACGTTGGTAATCATGGCTCTTCATAATGTTCTGTCCTTTGTGGATGTTATGCTATCTCTCCTAAACTCTGTTCTGTCATTTCATTAATACGAGGTCGTTAGGTAGGTCATGTGCCGTTTTCTTTGTTCCTCTTGCCCTCAATCTGTCCTGTGAGTGTCAAATTTTTTAAACCTTCTTTCCTCAAACTTTCAAAAATAGGTGGGGGATTTTCTGAAATAGGTGGGTGACTTTTAAAAATTTAATTAAATGTTCAGCTATCGCTGTAAATTGTCCGCCTTGCATTTGCGAATATGAGCCGGTAAGTGCTGATTGATTCGGGCTTTCAACAGTTGCTCCGTTCTGCCTATATAGTCAGCATCACATTGGCATCTGGGTTTGTAATTTAAGGAACTAATATGATGGGTAGGCAAAACATTTATCCGGATCAATCTCAACACAGAACATACACAAAGAACAATACATGGATTGGCGGAAAATTATTATAGATTCTTACACTAACTGACATTTTCTTAGTAAATCTATCACACATCTCATTGATCCACTGTTAATGCAAATAGACGAAGCATTTTTACGATTAATAACAGTATCGCGGCACAGAATATCCCGCTTCAGGAATATACCCAAGTATAGGTTAGGCGAGTTTAGAATAACCTCCGGGGTATGGTTATAATTAGCCTACTTCATACCTCCGAATATGTTTAGGCTTGAAATAACACACATACGTACATACATTCGGGATATAAGTAGGATTAGCCTACTATACACAGGGGTATGAGTAGGATTCGGCCAATTTACACCTCGGGGTATGAGTAGGATTCGGCCAATTTACACTTCGGGGTATGAGTAGGATTAGGCCAATTTACACTTCGGGGTATGAGTAGGATTAGGCCAATTTACACCTCGGGGTATGAGTAGGATTAGGCCAATTTACACCTCGGGGTATGAGTAGGATTCGGCCAATTTACACCTCGGGGTATGAGTAGGATTAGGCCAATTTACACCTCGGGGTATGAGTAGGATTAAGCCAATTTACACCTCGGGGTATGAGTAGGATTAGGCCAATTTACACCTCGGGGTATGAGTAGGATTAAGCCAATTTACACCTCGGGGTATGAGTAGGATTAGGCCAATTTACACCTTGGGGTATGAGTAGGATTAATCCACTTCATAGCTCGCTGTATGAGTAGGATAAGGCCATGTGACACCTCGAGGTATGAGTAGAATAAGCTCACTTCACACCTCGGGGTATGAATAGGATTAACCCACGTCACACCTCGTATTCATACCTCTGAATATGTTTTGGCTTGAAATATTTTACATACATACATACATACATACATACATACATGCCTTCGGGGTATCACTAGGATAATCCCAATACACACCTCGGATTATGAGTAAGATTAGCACAATTCTCACATCGGGATATAAGTAGGGTTAGACCACTTCACACATCTGGGTATGTGTAGGATCAGGCCACTTCATGCTTCGGAGTATGAATAGGGTCAGCCCACTTCATATCACGGAGTATGAGTAAGATAAGGCCGGTTCATTTGTAGCATTACGGCACTTCACACCTCGAGGTATGAGTAGGATTAGATCACCTCACATGTCGTGTAGGCGTAGGATTAACCTACTTTATACCTCCGAACGTATTTCGCCTTGAAATAACTTAACATATATACTTACATACATTCGTGTTATGAGTAGGACTAGCCCAATACACACCTCGGATTACGGGTAGGATTAGCCCACTTCACATATCGATGGATGAGTAGGGTAAGGCCACTTCATACCTCGGGGTATGAGAAGGGTAAGGCCACTTCTCACCTCGGGGTATGAGTAGGGTAAGGCCACTTCTCACCTCGAGGTATGAGTAGGGTAAGGCCACTTCTCACCTCGGGGTATGAGTAGGGTAAGGCCACTTCTCACCTCAGGGGTATGGTAGGGTAAGACCACTTCTCACCTCGGGGTATGAGTATGACTTCACACTTCAGGGTATGGTAGGGTAAGGCTACTTCACACTACGGGGTATGAGTAGGGTAAGGCCATTTCTCACCTCGGGGTATGAGTAGGGTAAGGCCACTTCTCACCTCGGGGTATGAGTAGGGTAAGGCCACTTCTCACCTCGGGGTATGAGTAGGGTAAGGCTACTTCACACTTCGGGGTATGAGTAGGGTAAGGTCACTTCTCACCTCGGGGTATGAGTAGGGTAAGGATACTTCACACTACGGGGTATGAGTAGGGTAAGGCCACTTCTCACCTCGGGGTATGAGTAGGATTAATATACTTAATGTCTCGATGTATGAGTATGAATAAACTACTTCATAACTCCGAATATGTTTCGCCTTGAAATATACATACATACCTTCGTGGTTTAAGTAGGATTAGCCCAATACACAACACGGATTATGATTAAGATAAGCACACTTCACACCTCGAACTTTTAGTAGGATTAGCCCACTTCACATTTCGTGGTATGAGTAGGATTATATCCCACCTCACACCTCCGGGTAGGAGTAGGATTAACCTTCTTCATACGCCCGAATATGTTTCGGCTTGAAATAACGTACATGCATACATTTGTGGTATGAATAGGATTCGCTCACTTCACGCCTCGGTATATGAGTAGAATTAACCCATTTCACACATCGGTGTATGAGTAGGATAAGGCTACTTAATACCTCGGTGTAAGAGTATGATTAACCTACTTTATACATCCCAATATATTTCGGCTTGAAATAACCTACATACATACCTTGATGGCATGAGTAGGATTAGCCCATTTCACATCTTGGGGTAGGAGTAGAACTAACCCACTTCACACCTCGTAGTATGCGTATAACAAGGTCACTTCACACCTCGTGGTAGAGTAGGATTAGGCCACTTCACACCTCAGGGTATGAGTAGGGTTAGGCCACTTCATACCTCGGGGTATGAAATAGCTTAATCTAATTCAGTCCGGCCGGTTTGATCTTTCTGAATGGTAGGCTAAATTTCATAAAGAAAATAGTCAGTTATATGCCATGCGTGATACACGCTTAGGCGATAATGTTTTGATACATGACTGACGAGGCAGATTTTTTTTCCCGCTGTAGATTGCCATTTCTTTCTGCGGTAGACCAGTTACCACCCAAGGCTGCAGAATCCGGTCTGTCCTGTTATTTAACCATAGCTTGTGGGTGGGGGAGAAGAAGAGGATTCATACCTTTCGCAAGGGTATTAGCACGTAAGTGAATGGATTCGACTGGAATTCATTTTGTTTTGTTTCTTTCTCACCCTTGCATTCTTTCACACATAAACGGTGATTAACTACAATCTTGATCGAATTTTTCAACTGTCGGTGAAAATAACGTTTTCATCATTTTAAACCACCACGATTTTCGCTAAGGAACCTTATACGTGTAAAAATATTTTACTTTTGAAACAGGAAACATTCATACTAATTTTTTTCTTCGGAGAACTAATATACTAATATTTTCAAATGAATAAATTAGAAATAAATCACACACAGCGATATGTTTTAATCAGTGTCATCATTGACAATATAATTATACGAAGACAAATTATCCAATTATCCAAACATTTCTCGAAAAGCAAAGAAGTTTCGTCCATTTCCAAAGTATATTATTGCGCATATGGTCTTCTGTAGTAAAAACAACTGAGGTCCTGACTTGATATCTCGACTTCAGTCATTTTTTCACCGACGTAAATTGGCTTCCCCCTGTCCTTTCTATAAATATTTTCATGGTAACTGCTCTGACGAACATTTTTTCCCTGGTGCCTCGACTACATGAATTTGAGCTACTAGATTGGCATTTAGGTCCCACCCTTTTACGGTTGAAATAGCTAATGCAACCGCCACTTCTACACTAACAGTTTCTTTTCTCGCACTTCACACCCGTGGAACTTTCTTCTATGCTATAATCTTCAAAAATTTAAATGCAACCTCAACGCCATCTTCTCTCTTCTTGAACCCCGCTCATCTTTGTTCTTTCCTCAATCCTCCATATTCTCAGTCTTCTCTTTCACTTTCACTCCTTGTAACCCCCTGCGTTTTAGTTACATTCCAGTCTTGCTTATGGTGAAATGATTAAAAAAGAAAAAAAGGTACCTACTACGAATAATTACCTTGATTCTTTTTAGCAGTGCGGTCCGCTTTGTGGTGCCCCATAGATCATGTGACCCTCTCGAAAAAGGTTGCCCATGTTTGATCTAAACTATAAATATCAAGTGCAGTTTTACACCCTCTTACTCTGGGTATTAACAAATGATTTTCTTAACTTAAATATTTGTTGTGGTAGGATCCACCTAATTTGCATAGTGGAGTACCGACCATATAAATATGGTTGATACCGGGAAGAGAGCGAGGAATCAAGAGATTCAACCAGAGACTCTGCCCGACTGCGACTAAGTCAACACATTCTCCAGGAACGGTCTTACCAGGAATATACAAAAGACTATAAGTAAATATTGTGTACACTTTCTTGTTTCAATACATTTTGTTCTAAGTACATTTTGTGTTGCATTATTATTCCATGCATTAGTCAAGTTTCAACAATATTATAACTGATTGACTTGTTTTTTACAGATTATCAACACTTTGTTGGTTATTTCAAGCCGAAGCATATTCTTTTTCGAGATAATAATGATTTTCAGATCCCTACAAATAAGAGGGAGATGAGATGGATTCCCAAGGGTATTTGCGCGTAAGCGATTGTAACAAACCCGACCAGAATTCGAACGCTGCTGTCGATTTCACATCCCGACCCCTTATCCATTACAGCACTCACACGTTAAAGATTACAACACCTGGCATTCCGAGCGGTCACCCATCTAGGTACTGACAAGGTACTCGACGTTGCTTAACTTCTGTGATCCGGTGAGTGCCAGTGTTTCAACGCGATATGGCCGTAAGCGGAAATGTTAGAAAAAATGATCACTCTTCAATCCCTTTGATCAAAATTGATAGATATCGAGAAGATAGGGATTTTACTATTCAAACCAAGGAATCTGAATAAAATTGAGAGGGTGTAGAACGCACACAAGACATCTATGAGATTATATGACACTGCATAATCCATAGTCTCCCTGACTGTCATCTGTAAATACAATAATATACACTAGTTTTAACCCGTGAAAATTTCGCGGTTTTCCAATTTTAATATTCTGATGAATCTTAATTCTTAAGTTAATGACTAAATAAGCTCATTGAGAGTTCTACGACAATGAAATATCCTTAGAAATTCCCCTATGGCATCGTTAAATATTTGAGCTTAACAACTTTAACAAAATATTGCAATAGCATAATAAATATGAATGCTTGTCGTTATTTTAAGACGAGGGTACAAATGAAAAGATTTGAAATTAATAACTTTTTCTATTGCAATGTAACAGCCGTTAAATGCTTCTGTCTTTCTTTCTTTCTTTCTTTCTTTCTTTCTTTCTTTCTTTCTTTCTTTTATGTCCTAGGTAAGACGATAAACTACGTCCAACAGCAAGGCCTCTGATCAGGAGGTTTTGAAGAGCGTGGAACCGCATCTTAATTGCTGGTGTTCAAAAGTCCACCCTGATCCGTGGTGGTAGCACCTGTTAGGGTCCCAACTATGGTTAAATAGTTAACCACCAAACTGGGGTCAAAACAGTATGAAAGCGTAAAAATAGGTATTAATACCAGTAATAAATTTTTGAGGAAAAATTATTACCAGCAATACATTTTTGAGGAAAAAATATTACCAATAATACATTTTTGTAAAAATCATTACCAGCAATACATTATTACCAGCAATACCTTTTTGAAAAAAATACCATTAATACATTTTTGAAAAAAAAAAAATTCCAATAATACATTTTTGCAAAAAATCATTACCAGCAATACATTATTACCAGTAATACATTTTTGAAAAAAAATACCATTAATACATTTTTGAAAAAAAATACCATTAATACATTTTTGAAAAAAAATATTGTCGGCATTAAATAATCCATTAACAAAACAAACCAAACCAAACAAGCCAAACTTACTTATTTTCTTTCTTTCTTTCTTTCTTTCTTTCATTTTGTCACTGAAACCAAGTAGTGTCTTTTGCCCTCTTTCCACGCGATCAAAATGGAATAGGGCATTATTTACGAGATACTGGCAAGGCGTAACGGTTGTGCAAACTAACGAAGGGAGGGAGAAGCATAATTATAATAGGATAATAAAACCATTACTATTATATTAACATTACATCTATAATAGCCCTATTAATTCTCTATTATTTATGCGGTATTGGCAGGAAACATTACATTCTCCGATTTTCCCTTCTTTCTTTCTTTCTTTCTTTCTTTCTTTCTTTCATTTTCTCACTGAAGCCAAGTAGTGCTTTCTCCCTTTTCCCACACGAATAAAATGGAATAGTGTTGAAACTTGACTAATGCATGGAATAATAATGCAACACAAAAGGTATTGTATTGAAACAAGAAAGTGTACACAATATTTACATATAGTCTTTTGTATATTCCTGGTAAGACCGTTCCTGGAGAATGTGTTGACTGAGTCGCAGTCGGGCAGAGTCTCTGGTTGAATCTCTTGATTCCTCGCTCTCTTCCCGGTACCAACCATATTTATATGGTCGGTACTCCACTATGCAAATTAGGTGGATCCTACCACAACAAATAGTTCATTATTTACGAGTCACTGGCAGGGCGTAACGGTCGTGCGAAATAACGAAAGCACAATTATAACAGAATCTTATTACATGGGAAAAGGCTTCGGGCTTGGCGTTTATTTTGTTTTACGTCATAAACCAATACATTTTTGAGGACATATGGTACTGGATGATCCATAGTCTCCCTGACTATCATCTCTAAGTACAATAATATACACTAGTTTTAACCCGTGAAAATTTCGCGGTTTTCCAATTTTAATATACTGGTGAACCTTCATTCTTAAGTTAATGACTGAATAAGCTTATGGCAAGTTCTACGACAAGAAAATAACCGTAGAAATTTCTCTACTTCATCGTTAAACATTTGACTTTCTGAATGACACGCCTAATTTAATAAGGAAAATAACGTTTATTAAAATTTTGTGTTTTCTTTCATTCTCACTTGTTCACTCACATTGTCTTTCATGCCAAAATGTTCAGAGATGCTGGTGTCGAAGGGAAGTAACTATTAAATGCCTGAGTAACCTCCCTTATTTATTAATTCCCGTTGTGTTTTGGGTACAGTTCGACGAAACCATATACATAACAATGATTAAACCACGTACATAACAATGATTAAGTTTCTTGTATTTTGTAACTTTTCGTTCTCAGCATTTTAAACCATTGGCGATTTTCATTAAGGAACATCATACGTGTAAAAATATTTTGCTTTAGAAATGGGAAACGTCCTATCAATATTTTGTTCTGAAGAAGAAATATATTTTTTTCTGCTTGTAAATGAATAAATTAGAAACAAATCACTCGCAACAGCATGTGTTAGTCAATGTGTCATCAGTTTTTCCAAATAAAAGATGTCAACTTTTTCCCCATTTCTAAGGCAGATGCTTACGCGTACGATCTTCCGTTTTGTACGCGAGGCATGTACAGGGTGACCCCAAAAAACGGGAATTTTTGAAGTGCGTATTGCCAGACATGAGCAAGTGGCAACACTGCGAGACAGTGACCTTGAGCAAGTAAACATTTCGCCATTTAGAATTCAAGATGAAATTCACAGTATCCCAGCTGAAATGTTGCAGCAGTCAATGAGGAATCTCAAGATTTCAAGAATGCATTCGTACAGGAGGACGCCATTTACAGGACGTAATTTTTAAAAAATGAAAATTCTATCATTGTTTCTTAAATGGCAGGTTTTATGGTTTCTATTACCAAGAATAAAATATTTTTCTTCCATCACTATTGGTTTTATTGGATTGTTAAAAAGTTCCCGTTTTTTGAGGTCACCCTATATAAAAAGTGTCAATTTTTGGTACGACACAAAACAGTGCAGTGCTTTTTGCTTATTTGTGATTTTTTTATTCATTATTTCAGTTGTCATCAGTTCAGCCCAGAAATAACCAAAGAAGTTTGATTTAATAATCGCTCCAAATCTAAGATTTTGAAGATGACAATTTATCTATCGTAAAGAGAAACCGTAAAGTACTCCCTTTGAATGAAAAGTTAAATCTCGAATTAATAAGGGAAAAAAATATCATATGCTTAGGTTGCTAAGATCTACAACAATAACAAATCTAATCCTACTATAATTTTCAATACAGCGTGTTATAATTTTTTTTTAATCATTTCACTTCAAGTAAGGCAATAATGCCACTAAGACTGGAATTTCCTCCGTATATGAAGAAAATACACCGGAAGGGCACATTAGATTGGTAGTGGGAAGGGAAGGTGAAAGATAAATCTCAAAATTATAGAATAAATCCTCGGCTGGGTGAACTGACTACTACTAACCACTAATCCCTTAGCCCTCTATTTACCCATTCCTTGTCTTTCACCTTCCCGTTAAAACTAGCCTTGTGCCACATCTTGCCTTGTGGGGAGGTTGGTAAATAGAAAAGATTATCGTTTATTGTTATGGGACCTTACCCATAATAACATAATGGACTATTCCATACGTAATAAATACTGCGCCTCAAGAGAGAGCAGAGAGTTCAGCATGAAGTCGGGCGACCGACTGATCGTTTGAACTCTTTGCCTTCGAGTGGGGAGGAACCCGAACGAGGCTATGCTTTCGGGGAGGTAAACCGACCCTGAACCCGTTTATACGGGTTCAAAGAGCATATTTTTGGCCGAGGAGGGGGGTGACTAAATATCGTTCAGTCTGAAGTCTGGAGTGAAGTCCGTCAGGAGTCTGTCAGTCAGAGCGATCGAGCCAGTCAGTCGAGTCAGAGGCAGTCCGAAACAGAGTCGCGTTCAGACAATTACTAGGTACCAAAGAGGAAAGCTCATCATAATTGTGAAAATATTTATAGAAAATGAATGCTTGTCTGTAGAAAGTGTATAATAGTTTTCGGGATATTTTTGGTAACATACATTTCTTCTAATGTTAATATAATACAGGTTTATTTAGGTGACTAGATTTTCCTTTAAAGTGCACCTCATATAGAAAATTATGTCCGGTCATTTTTATTTTCTTAAGTTCAATTACTTCCCAAGATGTGTCCATGTCTCCACTTTAATTTCTGTATCTTTTTTATATAATTTAAAATTCTTATTAGGGTATCTAAAGTTGCTTACAGTAACATAAACATATGATTGGTCATGAAGTAGTCAGACATGGCACCATATGCAATACATCAGAATTTGTGAAACAGCCAAAGATCGCTTGTTTAGTAGTTAGGTGTAGAAAATAGTAATAAGATTTCTGTAGTTGATAGCAGTCGCTCCAATCATTTGGACAGAGAATGGAGGAAGAAGAAAAAGAGGTTAAGAAGAGGATGTGGTTTCTTTGTTTTAAGTTGTCTGGGTTTAATGCTTTAATAAAGGAGACATTTTTATTTTTATTTCAAATCATTTGCGCTGGAAACGGGGCAAAGTTTCCTTAATTCAAAATGTCTGGGTCAAACAAGGTTACAAAGTTTTCTTATTTCCAGTAACATTGGTTAAACAAAGAACAAAATTTATTTTATTTTAAATCGTCTTGGTTGAAAAAAAGAAAAAAAAAAAAAAAAGCAACAGGTTTTTTGTTTTTAAATTTCTAATCATCTGATCGCTTCCGGCAATATGGCTACAGCGACTTCCAGCCAACGCGCATAAATCTACTGACACTTGGAATACAGAAGTAAAAAATTGCTATCAATGTTTGGATGTTTCAACACGCTCCCTAATTAACCACGGTGGCTACTTTGTCACATTTTATGTTCTATGCACGTAGCTATATAAGTATAATGTGTATTTAAGTCACATTGGAGTAATGGATAGCGGCTCGGATTG